GGGCGGGGCCGCCGCCGGCAGCGCCCCCCGGTGGCGGCGCGGGGAGGCCTCGCCCTGCAGCGCGCGGAGCGTCACTCGTTAATGACACGTGTTGTGGCCAAACTGTCCGCTTTAAGTTATTTCCTACTCAGGCAAGCTTTATTTGCCGCCCAAAGTCTCTCACGCTTTTTGTCAATTAATTTCTGTTATTCTAATAGAGCTACAAAGCAAGTTCCAAGTTCGGGGCTTTCTGGTGAACATCCTTTCCTTAGTGTTTGATAGGCACTTCAGCTTTTCAAAGTGCTGAAATACTGTTGGTGGATAGCTTAGGCAGCCGAAAAATTACAAAAATACAATTGCATTAGAATAATTGATGCCCACTATGTATGGGTTTTAAAGCATTTTATGCAAGAAAATAAGATTATCAAGGTTGTACAGTCAATTAAAAGGAGATAAAAAGATTATTGACTTGCACAAATTAACACCGCAGGTTTCTGTTCATTTTTAGTCCATGACTCTTCCCTTAGGATTATACAAGAATGGTTTAATGTCTGTTTCAGCAACTTGCATTACAAGCGTAGCTGAAGCACCAGAAGAGGTGGGGGGAAATTTCATCTTTGAAGATCAGAACTTTGTGTCAAGTGAAGACTTGAGCATTTCATATTTCCTCTACTTGAAACGTATTTAGGCCAGAATAATAGCAATTACTAACAAACACTTGGTCAATAGATGAAGGAGCAGCTTGTCTAGACTGGCTTTTGAGTCCTTGGACAAACACTGTGCAGGGTCTGTAACTGACCAGAATCTCCCTCTCAAGTGTCCTGCTCCTGAGCAGCCCTTTTGGCTCATGTTCTGCAAATACATGTGCCAGTATGGAACTATGCTGCTTTGAGAAGCTCCATTCAAAGCCAACTTTTAGAGATGCTTGAATATTTTCATAATATTAAAAAAAAAAACCAAAAAAACCAACAAACACAAAAACAACAAGTGCAGCAGCTGATAATAGTAGATCTATTGACATCACCTTCACCAAAAACTGACTTACAATACTCAAGCTTGTCTAAGCATTTAAAGCAACATCATAGTGAAAACCTAGTGCTAATAAGATAACTGAACTTTTTTCATAACAAATTAACTATCAATTAATCACTCCTTTATCAGAATAGATAAAAGACACACAGGAAATACTAAGGCTACCATTGAAAAAATCAAGTTGCTATAGCTTTTTATAAAAATTATCTGATTAGCAGAAACGGTGATTCTGCTCAGTTACTTGAATAATACACATTTGGTATTTTCTGTCTTAGATATATTTTTCTGCACATACAGCACATTAAACATGACAAAATATTTTACCTGCTTTAAACATTTCACTGATTAAAAGGAAACAAGTTCTGATACAACATTAACATTTATCAGTTTCTGACATAAAATTTTCATTTCAGCAAAACAGTTTCTTCCTACAAATGGTATAAAGAAAACTAGAAAAAGATTAAAACAAAAAGCTAAATCAAATGTTAATTAAGTCAAATGTTCAAAAAGGTTAAATTAGAAACCTCCATAAATTTTACTGATATTTTGTTACTAACGATAGCATTATTTTTAAAAAGGAACTTATTTAATTGCATGTAATTTAAATTTACAATTAAATTTAAATTTAAATTTACAAAGCATAACAGTTCTCTCAGTGAAAGTTACCACTGAAAAACAAGAGTCCAAACCAATCTGCATTCTCCAGGGGCTTTTATTTTTGTGACAATAACTCACTGTAACAAGAGCTGTTCAACATTCTGCAACAAATTCTAAAATACTCCTGAAGGATCTTATGGATGATACTTGTTTTTTTCTTGCTTCTATAAAATAAGGGATAGAAGAGAAAATATTAAGACAAATGTTGACTTAAAACACTGCAGAATTTTACAAAACATTTCAGCAGAAGAACACTTGCCACAAAGCACTCCCACAGATACCCAAAGCACAGCAGAAATGCCATCTACTCCATCCATAGAGAGCATCTCCGTGTAAGGAAGGTACATATTAAACAGTGAAAGTTGCCAGAGAAATTTGCACAAACCATGAGAAAAAGAAGACAGAACAGAGAAAATATCCACTTCCTAATAAAACAGGGATTAATTTAGAGTCCTTAACTGAAATTCTTGACTTTGTATCTGTCAGGTGGCACTGGATGGTGCAAGTCAGATCAGGGGCAAAAGCTGGAAACTGAGCTGACAGAATATATGAGTACTAGAAAATGAAATAATGATTACTTGCAACTGTAACCTGTAGTACTTCTTGGAAAGATCAACACTTGTCCGTCCTTTCTGAAATGGGTAAGACCACAAAATTAAATTCCAGTGATTACCCATTTTTTTTACTCCACTCAAAAGACAGTTAATTTCTTCAGCTGTGAAATCTTTTCGAGTTCTTCTTCTCTTGGTTAAAGTTCTCGTGCCCATCTCCAGGGAACATATTTCATTGTTCTGCAAATATGTATTTTGTTGAAATTAAAAACTACAGTGGTTCTTCAAGGTCTTCACTGTCACCCACTTACTGAAATAAGAATTTTTCCATTACCTTTACCTTCATCTGTTATGCCTACATAGTTTATACTCTTAGTATGTTTATTCCTTCAGGTTTCTGTTATTTCTATACTATGAAAATTTTCATTAGTGCAGGAAAAAGCATATCTCCATATCCATTATTCAGAAAGGATTGTCAGTTGAAAAAAAACTTAACTCATGTCAAGGATAAATCAGTATGACTGGAACAGAATCAACAGAGGAATATCTTTTTAATAAGGTTCACTTTGCTACTGGGCTCCTTTTAAAGGTGACTTTAAAAGAAATTATGCAATTTAAAGTGATTTTATTTGGACACTAATAACTATGTGAGTATATGATTAGGCTTTGCATAACTAACCTCATCTTTGTCAAGTGGATAGTTGCAGTTTTCTTTTAAGTGCTGACATTGCTGGTCACACATTTCTTTGACTCTTTGTCTTTTCAAGTTAGCATCTTGGGTTTTTTTGAAAGCTATGGAAATGTGAACAAGGCCATCTCTTAGTTAAAACAAACTAACTGAAATCTACTGTCAAACTGAATATAGTGTTACAAAGGAACATTTCTTCTAGTGAACTTGACTATGTAAGTCTTGCTTTATTAGTTTTACCTCATTTTCATGAGATCTTTTTCTCATCGTTGACATTAACACACAAGGATTATTTATGCATTGGAAACTTAAAACAGGAATTAACTCAAACACCAATAATAGTTCAATTGAAGGTACAAGATACAAGAACAAACTTAAATTCTTAGCCATTTGTCTTCAGTAGGAAGCACAAGTACTTTTCTCAGTATCCTGACCTAAATGCATAACCTGATCTTCAAGTTATATTTATTACATGGTTTTCTTTTAATACTCACACTTGTCATATGTAGGTATCAAGTTATAGTCATCAGTCAACCTAGTATTTTTGCTGTGTTCATCTCTTTTTGAAATGCTGGATTTGTTTTTTCTAATGGGAGTCAAAATAATACCTTAAAAAAAAATAAAACCAACAAAACATTATGCTTCATTCTTTAAAAAAAAACAAACAAACCACAAAACATAGCTAATGTTTTAGGAATTAGAATTTAAGAGAGAACCATCTTTTCATTCATACTACTGTCTGGTCTTGGAGGAAAGACTAGAACACTCAGAAATACTCAAATACTTCAGAAAATGTTTATTTGCCAAAGGTAATATATTAGTGTCATGTACTATCTACAGATGGACAGTCATTGTGTACTAGAAAGAACACCAGTTTTTATGGGCAACTGATGGTTCTGTAAACACAGGGTTCCTAAATGGCACTACAGAAAACTGATGGAATCTATATTCACTCTTCCAACTTTACCTTGTTAGTAACATCTTATTCAACACCTCAAAATAGAAAACAGGTAAACAGGACTCCTGTACTTAATTTTCTGATAGTTACATCTTCTGTCTGATAGGCTGTTTTCAGTTCCTTCCTCTAATTCTGTTCCACATGTTAAGGTTTACCTTTTCAGCTATTTAGCACACCAAGACCCAAGCCCTTGGCAGAGCTCCAAGCAGGAAGAGAAACAGGTATAATAGAATAACATGGCTGTAACTGTATAGCAGAGTGATGCTGAAACCAGGAACAGGCACCTGTACTGTATCCTGATCCTGACTGTTCCTCTACATTTTAAAAATTAATGCCACAAAACTGAAAAATAGCAGATGGCATAGAAGCAACCTTGGCAGGAATCAAAGCAGTATCTACAAAGTAAGTGCCAGGTAGCTTTGTTGTGAACTTATGTCCATGAAATGTCAATATTCTAGAATACAAAATTTTCACAGAATCCACAGAAAAAATTCCTATAATTCCCTATCTACAGCCTCCATCGTAAAGTCCTGCAAAATAATCACATAGAGAGTATGAGCTTTTTGCAGTAATTTCCAAACCAAGCCCTTACTTTGGAAACTATCCGTTTTGCTCCTAAAAGCTGATGGATCTGTATGCAGTCTTTCTTTCCTCACTGGGGTCAGCAGTACTTCTGGAAAATGTAAGATGGACACCAGTACAAATGTTAGTAAGTAATGACTGTTTATTTTTTAAAATGTCATCTTTGAAACAGAAAGATATAGGATGCACTTTTATTTAATTAAGAATTATAAGGCTCTTGCATCCATCAGTATGCAATATTAGAATTATGTGACCTTGTTATGAAGTCATACATACATTCACACTTACTTCAACTTAATATATTCTCTTCTATTAGTACTTAACTGGCAAACAGGATAGAGTCTCATCAAAGTATATAATGAGGATATCTCTCTACTGCCAAGAAATATTCAAGATGCTCAAGACAAAAGAGCTAGTTCTGATATCAATTCATAAAACCATAGGTAAATCTGATTAAATTAGTGAGTTTACAAGAGCAGGACAATTGGAAACAGATGCCCAAAAGTTCAGAATTTAAATGAGATTTAAAACAAGTTACAACATCTAAAAACAAAACAAATATATATATAATTACGCTCATGAGCTGCGTATCTACTGTTGTTACCAACAACCAGCTTGCGAAGTTCCTTTTTATATCTTTCTTCAGCTTCCAGAATGACTTTGTGATGGTCACACTTGTAGGGACAGCTTTGCAACATCTTGGTAAAAGTTCTACTATTGAAGGGCAGTCCTCCTGCTGTGCAACCTGGAAAAAATATGCTGCTGTAGAAAGAGCAAGTGTGACTGCTATAGCAGCCACCAGCAAGTCCAGAATTTTATTTTGCTCACTATAATCTACAATTTGGCCCCCAGATTTCCATATATACATCTCATAAGAGGTTAAACTTTATGTATCTTCTTAAAAATACTTCTCTCTAAAAACAAACAAAACATGTTTTCAACATGGGACCAAGTTATACTGCATTCCAACTCCAGATATACTACACGAGGCACAGATCCTCTACAGAAGAAAAAATATTAGTGGGATGAGAAGAAAGGGGCCTCAATTCCCTTTGCACATTTACACAAGAGCCAAAATATAAAAGATTTTTTGGAAATACTTGGAAACTTTATCTTTGTTGTAATAGTTATCTGTATTAAGCTCAATAAATGGTAAGTCTAGCTTAGGTATGAATGTCCTCACAGGAAGCCTTCCTATTCATTTTTTAGGACATTTCTAGGGTAATTTATGGTTTACTTATTCTTCGATGTTGTCACAGTCAGTTAAATCACCTGAAGGGGAACTTCTGTACCGAGAAATAACAAGAGCACTGGTACATATCTGCACTGTTCTAGCCTAAGATAAAACAGTCCTAAAGCTCAGGTTTTATTTAGTTTGATAACTGGGGTTCATATGTCGAAATGGTGTTCAAAGGTGGGTTATGGGCTTGTTTGTTTTTTGGGTTTTTTTTATAAAGAGATACAGGCTTGATTACAAAATCCATTTCCAAATCCTGAGTACCAGCAGCATTCTTATAACCTAAAGATAGACCATTAGGAAAGACGCGGTAAGTGAGGGCTGCAAACCTGGATTACTATCAAATTGTTTGTAGGTACTTAACTGGAGTATGGCAGATAAAGCAGAAGGGCAGCATCATAGTCAGGAAGCTTAGCAGATAAACTCATAAGGGAACTGAGCCAGGTTGTATGTTTATACTCCCTCTTTCCCATCACAGAAAGGAGGGAAACACCTGCTATTAAGTGTTCTTGTAAGTAGCATGTAATCTTTAAAAATACATATTCTGTTAGTAAACCCACATTAAGAAAAGATACAAAGACCAAAACTGTAAAATGTAAGCTTTATTTCCAGATTTATGTTCAATAGAAAGGAAAGGAAGCAGTTAAGAATTCCTTAAGAGGTAACTCAATAGATGTATTAAGATTTCTGTAATGTCAGTTTACTTACTGCATTGCTGACTCTTTGAAGCCTATTTTATGGACTCTGGAAAGAAAGACCTAAGATAATATTTACCTAAACACCTTAAATCTGCTACTTTATGGGATGCAGATGTAGTTGAAGCACTTTTTCCTTCCCTGGTTATCTCTGAGAAGAGTGAATGTTGATCTAAATTAGGAAGGAAAAAAACATTAAGAAAATGTGACCTATCTTTTGCTGTGGCAATCATGCATCAGCATACCGGTATTAAATCGTATTTTCTACGTGTAGATTATTGAAGTTTAATGTACAACACAGCAGAAAATCCAAATGAAATTCCTGAAGTTAAATTTACATTTTTGTCAACCCAGTATAATTACATTTAATTCAGTGCTTTTTCATCACCCTCCCACAGCATATTACTTGCACTTGAACACAGCAAAATAACCCTGTAAACTTACATTGCTTAACTAAACCCTCTAAACTTGATTTCTATTTGGAATCAGATACTGAAAAATGTGCTGTACTGGAACATACTTATTCACCATTTAAATAGGTATAACCTGGAGATCAGCTTGGCTACCTGTAAAGCTACAATTCTGGCAAACACTAATCTAATTAATACATTTTTTAAGGTAACAGGAAATGACATCATTAATAAAGATTAGATTGAACAGAATCCAGTTCTGAAATAAATTTATCAGACTAAGAAGATCAATGCAAACCTGAAAAGAAACATTTATCTTAAACACATTTTCAACATGTAGGAATAGCTTCAGGCAAAAGTCACTCTCACAGGGAGGTTCCATCCCCAATCTTAGAAGCACAGAACTAAACCAGCATCCTTACACATTTTCTATTACTTGCTTTCATTGATCAGTTCAGACTAAACTGAAAACACTTAGCTGCGATACATTTATTTGAATATTTAAAATCAATTTAAAAAAAAGAAACTTAAAATATGTATTAGAAGAAAAGCAGAGTAAATACTTTCCTGGTAAAATTGTATTCAATATAAAATTCCAAAACTATGTAAACAGATTAAGGATACTATACATAATGTACTCTGTCATATAATGATACACAATATCTGATAAAAGGTAGTGATAAAAGTACACAAAACTAATTAAAATATCATTAGGGAAAAAATTACTTAAGAAAAGAATATATGCTTAGCTATTTGTACCTGATGTGCATGTCTGTTTCATATTTTTATTAACTTCCACTGGTTTTTTAAAACAACGTCCACTAGGAAGATAAAAATGTGAATAAACTTTTTAAAAATTAATAATATACAGTAAAAAAAAAATTAAAACACACATTCCAAAAACAAAACAAAAACCATATTAAATATATAAAATATAAAACTCTAAAGAATTTATTCTAATTATTCCAAGTTACTGGGCTTGTAGTATCCAGCATATAATCACTGTGTGTCAGAAATCTGTTTACCAGAGGTCTGTGATTAGCAGCCCTTGCAGTAGTGTTCAGCATGTCTGCTCCAGCTTTTGGAGCAAAGTGCTTTGAATGAATACCAGTTTCCAGAGTAATTTGCAATTCTGGTTCATGTAAATATTATTTAGTGCACATAAAACTTTCACAAAGTTTTCAAAATACCATAGCCTTCACTAGATGTAACAATTGTTCTAGAAATGGTTGATTTTCTTCTTTTCTTACACTGGTTAACTTTTATGCAACCAACATGCTCCTATGATATTGTGATCATTTGGAAACTACTAAAGAAAACTAACTTAGTATTTCTTCTTAGGTGTAAAATACTTACCTTACTTGAGGAACAGACTGATTTTTTACACAAGCGGTTTTTTCATTCATACCAGGACTTGGAAGTACATGGTGGGTTTGCAGTTCTTCCGCTGCACATGGACTATTACTCTGTTTGCTTTGTCTGACAGCAGCATTTACTGACTCCACAGCATTCACTATTTCATTTTTAAGTGGAGAATAATTTACAGATGGAATGAGAACCTGATCATCTAACGTGTAGGTCAGCTGTGGACATTGTCCTACTTCATGTGTTCTTTCTATTAAAGCATTTGAATCAGCAGGATTCACTTCATGGTATTTTGATGCTTCAGTATTGGCTTCTGAAGATCCCTCTATGAATACTCTTCCTTGCCTTCCTTCCTGTATTGAAATATACTAGTTAGCAACTATACAAACTCTATAAAAACACTAAATACAACTAGTAACAAGATTAACTAGGATAGACCAGTCTAACTCTGAAGGTAAAGCAAATTCCAGAGAAACTTAAAAAAACCCTGATTGAGTTGAAAGCCAACAAGAGAGAGTGGGGCTGGAGGTGTAGTTACTAAGTGGTAATTCCAGGCTGAAGCAAGGTATTTGCTACTAAAACAAGGCCTAAGTTACCTCAATTTTGTAGTAAATTTGCTTTTTATTATAAACTAAAATACTACATAAAAATAGAGATGCCTGCATCCTGATTGCCCTGCATACTACTAATTTTCTGTTACAAATAGTAATGATAAAAGTTGCAAGTTGTAATTTCACCCATATCTAATGTTTTCCCTATGTTTCTAGCTCATACTGAAATTATCTTGAGGGTTTACTTTCTGTTTCTTCTACTTTGGTAAATAGGCAAACCTCATCGTGTTCTTTTTCAATCAACTTTATTCGGTGTAAAATTTCTTTTGCTTTCTTCCAGTAGTCCTGTAGACTTCTTTTTCTGACTTGCAAGTCCAGCTCTTCAGCATTGTTCACATTTAATGAATTGTCATTTATTTTCAGAGACAATTGCTCGGCTTAAAAAAAAACAACAAAATATTAATATAAAAATTTTTATCAATTAACACTTAGATATTTGTTATATTTTAGTATGCTGAGGAACGGCCCAACTTCATTTAAATTCACACAAATGTTAATAGATTTCAAACATAAGCTGTAGTTACAAGAGGCCAGCTTGCAATTAAGGTTAATATATGCTGTTTACACAATGATGCTGTGCTCTAAATCATGGACGTAATCCTAACTATAGGTCCTTTATTAATATGGGTCTCTTATTTTTAAGAAAAGCAACTCCACATTAATGGACACTGACAATCACCACACCCCCTTCAATCTTTAACCGAACTCTCAGCTAAGTTTTCTGTACAAAAAAGTGGATACATGCTTTCTACTAAATATCAATGGCATAATACCTTCCATGCTTTAGAGATTAAAGGACAAGTTCTTTGCTTCATTGACAGTATTATACAGTTAATAAAACAACAACCCACAACTTCAGCAAGATACTTCAAATTACATCCTACTTTAAAAATAAAGATTGGTATTTTTTAATACTGCCAAATAATTTTGGCAATACAGATTTCAGGCCTGATTATCTATTGGTTTAGCCTCTATATAGCATAGTAGATCCCCAGTAAGAGAGTAACAATTGCACATTAGATGTCAATGTTAATATTTTGCACATAATTTCTAGATAGAAAGCTTTTATAAAGCTAGCTCTACATATATAGGTTTCACAAATGCATTATTGCAACATCACCATAATTTTTTAATTTTTTTTTCTGTCTAAATGCCATAATCTGTCCATGGTGGCAAATATGCTTTTTTTTTTTGCAGAAAACAAATATCACTTGGGGTACACAAAATTACAAAGTTGCTACAGTTAAAATAATTCAGAAAGTCAACAGAACTTAAAGATGGAAATAATCTCTGTAATTTTTCAAGCAATAACAGTAAACTTACTCATTTGTTTGCAGTTCTGCAGCACAAAAGTAGCAGCTTTGTTTAGCTCCTCATCCTGAGACTCTGTTAATACCTGAATCATAAGTGGGAGACCATTGTTCTGGAGCAGTTCACACTGGTTTTCTTCTAAAATAGGACAATGTAAAAGAAAATACATCTGTTTTAGCCTCATATACCCTTAATCTTACAATAACTATAAAACCTAATACTAGTAACTTTCAGAGAAATTCTTAAAAAGATATTTTCATTATGGATGCAAGCATAAAGTAATGACTTACTACCTAAGTTGCAGTAGAAGTGCTCTAGATCATACAGGATGATTTGATCATAGCTCAAAGTTCTTTTAAAAAAACTAGAGAAAGACTGAGACAAATTATATGACCAAGTTCCAAACCCATATAATTGTCACATAAAATATTTTCATTATGGCTTCTGTATTTCTTTTCCTTTGATATATACTCTCAAAGTATGTACACCACATTTATCTAAGTCTTGAGATACAGAAATACCAAAAGCTTAAAGTGCATCATTAGCAAAACTCTAAAAAAATTAGTAATTTAATTCTGGTCTAGCTAATCTATTTCTCATGGTTAACTATGTAAGTAGCTACATTTTTTATTGTGATCTCATTTGCAGTATGTGTTCACAAAACTGACAACTTTTTAAAAGCAGTTATTTGTTGTCTAAACTTGATAAAAAGAATCAACAAAAGATTAAATATTATTTCTCAGTGTTGATATTTTAAGATGAACTTTTCTTCTGTTGATTTAATCATCTTTCTATTGGAAAGACATTTTCCATTAAGCTTTTATTCAATTAATTCTTTGTGAAAAAGTGTCTCTTCAAATATCAGATTTATGACATACTGAGCTAATTGTTGAACTTGTTATTGACACTTAGGGGATGATAATAAATCAGAATTCTTTAACATAATCCCCTTTTCATGCATTTCTGAGCATATATAATAAAAAACAGTAGTATAAATAAATAATGATCAGTGTCTCACAACTTCCCACTCTTTGTGTGTACTACCAGAAAATACCAAATTAAGTGTGGTATTTTCACCAGATATTCTTGAGAAAGCCCTGAGGAGCCTGGCAAAAACGCTTCAGGATTACCTACTGTTTATGTTACTTCAAAAACAATACTGTTATATAGCTTTTAAAGAAAGTAGTGATGCAAATGGTAGACAGAAGCTGTATGTATCAAGGACCTTTAAAATAGAGCCCAAAAGACTTGTTTGGTGTATATTTATTGTAGTAGATTTCAGGTCTGAATGAATTTTACTCTGTGATACCTACAATTAGCTCTGAATTCTTGCACAGTAGTCTGGTTTTTCTAAGCTCTTAAAAGATACCATCTACCAACAGGTTTTAAAATCTAAAGATGGAACATTATGGCAAACATTTTTTCTGAATATTAGTATTACACTATTTAATAGAACTTTCCCTCAAGTTTGTCTTCATGAAATGATGCCACTGAAGTAGTTAACATATGAGAATGTAGTAGAAACTGACAGAAAGGAAAAAGAAATACATCTTACCACAAACTTCAGTACAGTGTCCGATTGTTAGAAGAATACTAATTTTTTCTCCTGTATCAAGAGTATCATTGGACAGCAGCTTCAGCAGCTCTGACACAGTGTGATACTTTGTCAAGACAACACCCATAGCAGCTATTATGTTAAAAATAATTTAAGAAAATTTAAGAAAAATAAACTAGACAGTAAGTATATAGGCATCGTCCAAGTATAAAATGCTGGTTTTCAAAGGCACTCTACAGACCTCTAAAAGCCTTGGACCTGCACAGTGATCCTCTTCTTCTCCCTTTCTTTTCACTACTTCAAATTACCACATCCCTTCTGGGGCAGTAACTCTGTCCATGCTAGTTCCCAAATCCAACACTGCCCCTTCTCCTAGATTGTGCTGCACAGAGGTGTGGCAGAAGATCTGATACAAGGGCTTTGTAATGTGCAAGATTTGTAGACCTCTGCTGAGTTTCTCCACACTCTTTATCAGCTCCATAATACAGCAATCAAGAGTGGCACAAGGTTTGACATATAATTTATCTGCCACAAAAAAGAGCTAGAAATGTTTCTGGTAAAGGGCAACCTCTTTCTAATACTGGGAACACCACTGCTAGAACATACATGCTGAAACCTAATCCTGTCACATATCAAATTAATTGCAACTAGGCACAAAACTAGTGGAGGTATATGTTTTTAAACTTTTTTGAACTTCCATTAGCAAGCACTTATGGCAGAGTGTCAAATATAATAATCATGTCCAACAGCACAGGATCATCAGTAAATCAGTGCAAAGTTGTGTTATGCAGACATACCACATTTGTTTAGCTCCATGCCTGAGTTACTGTGGTCTCCTAAAGGTTACAAAGTTTATGAACTCTATCAGCTTAGGGATAACAGCTGTAACTTCAGGACCCAGGTTGACTCCCACAAGTAGTTCTCAGCTTCACTTACACAAAACAAGCTCTAGCATCTTATTTTTAAATTTCAGTATAGTTTACATTTTGTTGTTTATTTCAGCAACAATGGGAAAGTAACCTACCTCAGATGAGCTAAATCATTCCCCATATGCATGTAATTTTTTTATATTTAGGTTTTTTTATATTTATTAAGTATTTTTTTTAAATCTGCAATATAAACTGGGAAGTTTATAATTTAATTGCCTTTTAGCATCTACTCATGTAATTTTTCCACCAAAACAAGATTTTGAAAATTGCATGTTAAAATTCCCACATATATAAAAAATAGTATCAGTATTTCCACTCACAGTCATTAGCAATGCAGGCATCCAGAGTCTTCGTTACTACTACTGCTAGTTTTGTGCTTGACTGACTCATACAGGAGTCATGCATCAGCTTGAGGAGAACTTTAGCCAACATATCCAATCCTCCAACAGAAACAAAATATTTAAGCACGTATGCTTAGGGGGAAAAAAAAAAAAGAAAAGAAAAAAGAAAACCAGCTTACATAATACAAGTTGTAAATTGTTTTAGCATTTTATCAATCATCACAATCTTTCTGTGCAGGTATTAATCATTAAATTTCCACCCATACAACAAAGTTGAAGTTGGATATATATTAATTTTGAGAAATGTAGTGATTGTCTTACAGAAGACTTACAGGAAACACGTGGCACTAATACATGCATACCAACAGCAAACATGCCCAAGTTTTACCCAAGTCATCATTTTCAGAGATGGAATAATGACTTATATTTGTAATATGATTTTAATCAACAGAGCTTCCAAATAGTTCTTACTGACCTTATTAAACATAGCCAGTTTGTGGCTATTTGTGCACTTCAGCACAATGCGGTGTAAGTAAAGATGGTGGAATATAGTTTCCAGTGTAAAAGTTGGACGAACAGATAAATTTGTAGAGATTAGCAAAGAGAACTCAAACACAACTAACAAATTAAACTTAGTTTTAGAAAATAAAAACTTTAAAGGTTGAGCTGCACTTACAGTTATTTGCAACTGTGAGACCAACAAATGAACAAATAGGACGAACTATCTCAGGCTCTGTGCAAATTTCAAGCCACTCTTTGGCATAGGACTGAACAACAGATGTTTTGATTATCTTCTGGAAAAGTAAAAACAAATAACCTTAAATCAAAATGTAATATGAAATTTCAGTTGAACAGTAAAAACGAAGAAAAACTGTTGTCACTTTGGAGAAATACTTTAAACTTTTTTTCACTATTTTAAACAGCAACACTTACCATTCTGAGGATTGTTAACACAGGCACAGAGAGTACTGCACACTGAAGACCAAAGCTGATAGCACTGATTAGTATTTTCATCTGACAGATTCATCTCAGATGAGGAGAGAGTTGTTCTGTTAAGCACAATGGAAACAAGTCCCAGATAGTCAAGCAAACATAAGTCCTAAATAGTCTATAATTTTCCTGTTTCAATTGCGACTGTTTGTTTACCTGAATAACTGTAGCAGAAGACTAATGCAGCCTGTATCTCTGACATAGGTTTGACCACTTTCTAAAATAGAACACATACAAGACACTGAAAACACTTGCAACCTGAGACAAAATCTTCATGTCGAGTTCAATTTACCTATGTACATTTTATTTCCATTTCGTAAGCATATATGTCCCCCAAAAAACACATACAAAACCACACCAACACATTGGCAAAAACATTTCATTTTTTTCCATGTCTATTTTTTTCTACACATTGTCAGAAACTACTGATTTGCATATAAATCCATTTTTATAACTAAAACACTTTCTGCTGTTTCAGGAAATTTCAGGGAGCTATGATCTACTTACACTCTTCAGGTTCAGACACTTGAAACCTTTCTTCATAAATTAACTTTACCAAAACATAACCTATTGAGTGTTCCAAATTTCTGTACTGCAGATTCACAAATATATATATATATATATATATAAAAAGATGTTATAACACAGAAAAAACCCAACTTACTATTATTTGAAACCAGTACTAAGATGACATAAACAGACATTCTTTTCAAGTTCACACTGGAATCCTTATTCATTAAAAATAAAATGAGGTCTTCGAACAATGCAGAAGTACACAAAGTTTGTTGACAATAAACTGAAACCAGAAAACAAAACCCATTAAGTCCAAAAGCAAGCCATCTGTAATTATATATTACTTTTGTAATAGAATAATTACAGTCTCATTTGCATCCAATGTGTGCTTGGTAGAGACAAACAGGACTGTAAAGTAACTGACGGCTTCCCCCTGGTTCAGTTCTAAACCAACCAGGACTTAGGGAATCTTGGAACAATCTATTGTCATTTAACACTTGCTGCTGAGGAAGAGAAGTACAGCCATCTGGTACCAAAAAATATTTGCTGTTTGCTCAGGTCAGCAAGGTCTTTCTCCAAATCTGGGGATGAAGGATGAAACAACAGCACTGTCACTGCCCCTCACACAAGCTGATAAACTTGTAACCTGACTTTCTGTGACAAAACACAAGCAGAAGTTCAAGAAGGGATCATGACTCACTCAGAAATATAAATAGTAGTGTTATTACCATTACTCTCTATAATAAATCCTAATGTGAATAAAGCTGCTTCCTTTACTATGCAATGAACACTTGACTTTGCAAGATCATTTATAAACATCAAACCACCAATTTCTCTAAAATACTCGCTCGCTTCACCTATAACAGAAAACAAAAGAACAAAAGTTAAACATTTGGGAAAGACTGAACAACAGATGTTTTGATTATCTTCTGGAAAAGTAAAAACAAATAACCTTAAATCAAAATGTAATATGAAATTTCAGTTGAACAGTAAAAACGAAGAAAAACTGTTGTCACTTTGGAGAAATACTTTAAACTTTTTTTCACTATTTTAAACAGCAACACTTACCATTCTGAGGATTGTTAACACAGGCACAGAGAGTACTGCACACTGAAGACCAAAGCTGATAGCACTGATTAGTATTTTCATCTGACAGATTCATCTCAGATGAGGAGAGAGTTGTTCTGTTAAGCACAATGGAAACAAGTCCCAGATAGTCAAGCAAACATAAGTCCTAAATAGTCTATAATTTTCCTGTTTCAATTGCGACTGTTTGTTTACCTGAATAACTGTAGCAGAAGACTAATGCAGCCTGTATCTCTGACATAGGTTTGACCACTTTCTAAAATAGAACACATACAAGACACTGAAAACACTTGCAACCTGAGACAAAATCTTCATGTCGAGTTCAATTTACCTATGTACATTTTATTTCCATTTCGTAAGCATATATGTCCCCCAAAAAACACATACAAAACCACACCAACACATTGGCAAAAACATTTCATTTTTTTCCATGTCTATTTTTTTCTACACATTGTCAGAAACTACTGATTTGCATATAAATCCATTTTTATAACTAAAACACTTTCTGCTGTTTCAGGAAATTTCAGGGAGCTATGATCTACTTACACTCTTCAGGTTCAGACACTTGAAACCTTTCTTCATAAATTAACTTTACCAAAACATAACCTATTGAGTGTTCCAAATTTCTGTACTGCAGATTCACAAATATATATATATATATATATAAAAAGATGTTATAACACAGAAAAAACCCAACTTACTATTATTTGAAACCAGTACTAAGATGACATAAACAGACATTCTTTTCAAGTTCACACTGGAATCCTTATTCATTAAAAATAAAATGAGGTCTTCGAACAATGCAGAAGTACACAAAGTTTGTTGACAATAAACTGAAACCAGAAAACAAAACCCATTAAGTCCAAAAGCAAGCCATCTGTAATTATATATTACTTTTGTAATAGAATAATTACAGTCTCATTTGCATCCAATGTGTGCTTGGTAGAGACAAACAGGACTGTAAAGTAACTGACGGCTTCCCCCTGGTTCAGTTCTAAACCAACCAGGACTTAGGGAATCTTGGAACAATCTATTGTCATTTAACACTTGCTGCTGAGGAAGAGAAGTACAGCCATCTGGTACCAAAAAATATTTGCTGTTTGCTCAGGTCAGCAAGGTCTTTCTCCAAATCTGGGGATGAAGGATGAAACAACAGCACTGTCACTGCCCCTCACACAAGCTGATAAACTTGTAACCTGACTTTCTGTGACAAAACACAAGCAGAAGTTCAAGAAGGGATCATGACTCACTCAGAAATATAAATAGTAGTGTTATTACCATTACTCTCTATAATAAATCCTAATGTGAATAAAGCTGCTTCCTTTACTATGCAATGAACACTTGACTTTGCAAGATCATTTATAAACATCAAACCACCAATTTCTCTAAAATACTCGCTCGCTTCACCTATAACAGAAAACAAAAGAACAAAAGTTAAACATTTGCTTTTGTTTCTCCATAAAATGAACACCTTCCAAGATTGTAGAACTTCCCAAGCCTTATGCCCTTGAGATAATTTCTTTTACAGTGACAACCAGCTTCTTAAAATATATTGTTAGCATAAAATTACGTTTTTAAAGGAAGAAGTATTCTTACTGTTTTGTTGACAAATTGAATAAATAGTGATCAAAGCCTCTTTCTGAGATACAGGGCAATCCATCTGATATTTAAGGCATTCAAGCAGCAAGTTCAGATCTGTTTTCATATCTAAGAGCAAATACAAAATATTAATGTAAATTCTCATATTTTCTTTATATTAATCTATTTAGTATTACAATAAATCTATCAAAAAATGTAGTATGTATATGTATTTTAAAGAAAAAAGACGATAAAAAAGAGGAAAAAATGGAACTATACTACTTCTATCCATCTATAAATAACAAGCATACTTAATCCAAAAATACTCTTCTCCATAGTTTATTTGAGTATGAATTCCTTTGCTAAAATAACAGCTTCTTTTTAATATTTCTGGCCTTTAATTACTATTAACTTTTAGCAAAGGTTATATAAATAACTAAATATTGAATTTGCAATTGCAAGATGCATTAAGTGTATAATTAAGTGAATAACACAAAACCACAGAAACATTCAGAGTGAAACTGCCATTGACAATCTATAGAGTAAATAGGGAAA